AAATGCCCAGAGAGAACACAGGCATTTAAACATAGAAGGAATTAAAGGTAAATAACAATGCAACAATGTTGTTATGGTCATGCACTGTAAAAAACTGGACGAGAGTTCGAGAGGACGGGAAGCAGAACAAAGGCAAATGACTCCACTTATCCAACATTGGGTATTCTACTCAATGATAGGCAGGGTCTATTGTTGACTGTTCCACCCTGGGTGAATCAAAGACGTCAAATTGTTTATATAACTACATTTGAGGTTAGAAAAACATTTTTTACCCACAAAGTCTGTTCGGATGTGTTGTCACTCAACTAAATTTCATTTCACCAACCACTAACTTGACCTGTGGTTTATCAATTAGCATGTCTTTGTGAACATGAATGGATTACAATTGCTGCCAATTTTGTTTCATTCACTCTGTGAAGAGCCATTTATCTTACCTAACAGAATTATAAACGGAAATGAATCTTGAAGCAAAATTGCTGTGTTATTTTAGTATTTTAGTATTTTATATTCACATTTTTTAAATAAAGTTTCAGTAATTTTGTGTTTTCATTTTATTAGTTTAATATCTTTATTTAGTTAAATTATTGTTTCAGTTACTTGCCAAAGGCTACATTTCTTATTTTTAAGATTTAATTTAATATTTATTTTTATTTCAGCTTTATTTCAATTAACATTATTTAAGAGCAGTTTTTTTAATAGTTTTTGTTTAAGTTAACAATAATAACACTAATGAACAAATTAGTAAAATGCCTAAATGCTCATGCTCAACTAGTTTGAGACAACTTCATTCTTATACTTTATTTTAGCCACATCACATCCTTCATGGTGAAGGCAATCCCAAAAAGCATTGTGAGTGATCTCGTATTCAATTTAAAAATAGTTCAATAAAAATGTAATATTTATTTATTTGTGCCAGGCATTTTTTCAAATTCCAGATTTGTATTTGACAGGCTGATTATTAGCTTAGCAACATGCTAACACCAATAAAGGGTTAGTTCACCCAAAAATAAAAGTTATGTCATTAATGACTCACCCTCATGTCGTTCCAAGCCCGTAAGACCTCCGTTCATCTTCGGAACATAGTTTAAGATATTTTAGATTTAGTCCAAGAGTTTTCTGTCCCTCCATTGAAAATGTAAACACGGTATACTGTCCTTCCAGAAAGGAAAGAAGACATCAGTGGGTAAGTTAGAATTTTTAAGCATCCAAAATACTTTTTAGTCCAAAAATAACAAAAACTACAACTTATTCAGCATTGTATTCTTTTCCGGTTCTGTTGTCAATCCACGTTCAGTGACGCTGGTGACATAAGACGCTGCTGACGTGTAATCTGGTGCGCCAGAGCTTTGTTTACAGTCTGAGGGAGACGCAATCTTCGCAACAAAGAGAAAGACTTGCTTTTTTTGCATAGCCATATTTATTTGAACCCGAATACATGGACGCACCAGATACACGTCAGCAGCGTCACTAAACACGGATTGATAACAGAACCGGAAGACAATACAATGTTGAATAAAGTTGTAGTTTTTGTTATTTTTAAACCAAAATGTATTTTTGATGCTTCAAGAATTCTAACTAACCCCCTGATGTCACATGGACTACTTTGATGAAGTGGTTATTTCCTTTCTGGACAAGGACAGTATATCGTACATACATTTACAATGGAGGGACAGAAAGCTCTCGGACTAAATCTAAAATATCTTAAACTGTGTTCCGAAGATGAATGGAGGTCTTGGAACGACTTGGAACGACATGAGGGTGAGTCACTAATAAAATAATTTCCATTTTTGGGTGAACTAACCCTATAAAAACTCTATTAAAATCAATCGCGAGTAGTATCTCCCATGTGGAGATACTACTCTTTGTGTGATGCATTTTCTTAGCATACATCGAAGTGTCTTAGTTGATTGAATCGCCCAAGATGGATATTAATACCAAGTGTAAAGAGGACCCGAGTCTTCCAGGTTGTCAAAAACAGGAAACAGCAACACTTTTTTTTATGTTTAGGACTTCCTGATCCGATGACAACACCCTCTGCTTAATTAAGAATACAGTGCTATGCCATCACGTCATTGAAAGTAAGTACTCATTCAGATTTAATTTGTCCTGCCTCACTTTCAATTTCTGCCCTCTCTAATAATAGATGAGTGGACAGCAGGGTAGGATGATCCCATTCATATTGATGAGGCCTGGATACGCTGACCTAAAGGCAGTGAAGGAGACATGACGGAGACAGAAAGACCATCTGATCCACCTCCTTCTACTTTTGCATCTTTAATTTGAGACACGGCAGCTGCATTTTTGTGGGTCGGATCGCTGCGTGCAGTTTACTTTATGAGACAGCCCATAAACACACATATATTCTCGCAACCTGGTTCTTGGATCGTTGTGGCATATTTTGTCCATCTATTAATGGAATTTAGGTTAGGCTATTGAATGCAGCGAGGAGAAAGTAGGTTAGGTGCTACCGAAGAGAAGCTGGGTCTAAGACGTACCTCAAGATCAACAGGGATGGTGACGTAAAATGGCACACTTAACACCATATGTTGATAGATCTGCTCTACTGAAACACGTAGTGTAACTCAACTCTCTAAGGCACCGTAGTGGTCGGCTTGTTTGTAGGAGGCACCAACTATGAGATAAAAGTGCTTCTATAACTAGTTCCTCCTCCCTCTGGAAGCAATTACAGGCAGGTAGCAGACGGTTGGACGAAGTGCAATCGGCCATATCATACAAGCATATGTCGTTCTACAAATCACATGGAGGAGGAGGAAGAGGTTGGTTTTACTTTTTCACTAAAAGAACCAGAATGCTAGGCTCACTTGTTACTGTGGTTGGGAAATGTCTGGATTTTAATGTTTAAATAATTATCTCAGTATAATATTGAGAAACAAATAAGCCATTTCTAGGTTTTCCTCGGAAAAGGTATCAAAATATATCCGTGACCGACCAGTCAGACAGAGCTAGATGAGCTCAATTAATGACATTTATTTATGTTCAACCAATGGATGGCTAGTAAAACACTTTTAAAAAGAATATTACCAGAAAATTAAAAATTTCTGTCATAAATTTACTCATCCTCATATTGTACCAAAGCAAAACCCCAAAATGTGAAATTCTGGAGAATATACTGATATTGATTCCCTTTCAGTCGCTCACGTTCAACGTAGTCGGCATGTCGACTGATTGGGATCACGCTTAGAGAGTCATCTCTAAGCATCACCTGTCATCTTCGAGTACTATTAAAGCGAGCCAATGTAATTGGCGTGCGTGAAATGGATTACACACTCCGCCCCCCGCGGTCCGGGTAAAAATATGGAAGTGGATGCACTGCTTCCCATGGGCTCCCTTCACATGAAGCCAGTTTCACTGTAAGCCCGGTTCGTTGAGTTGGCTTGCTGTGCAATTCCCCTCCTAAAGAGTGGATACGTGAGCAATTCTTGCTCCAGTTAATTTCCCCTTTTTAGCCGAACCCTGTCGAGTTCCTCCATACCCTTCAGCAACAGACATGGAGGAACGTCTGAAGCCAGGCCTATCACTCGTATGCACTAGGGATGCAACAATTCAGTTAAACACGTTTTCGGTTAGACTCGGTCCTGATGGCTTGACCCATAAGAGTGTTTTGTTGTTATTCTATGCTTAGGCAATAGGAACAGTAAAAGGTTAAGGAGAAAAAAATAAATAAAAACTATTTATTGCAATACTCCTTTATTTTAATTTCACAGCTGTTGGTAGCCCATGTACAAACTGGGGATGGGAACACATAAACTCCTAAATTTTGAAAATAAACATACATGTGAAGTTGGTAAACATAAATTGACCATTTCAAATAAGCTACTTGCACTCCAGTAAAGTGTTTCCTAGGCTACACGTGTAAAACAATGCTTGCACACAGTAATTTTTTGTTCACCATTTTTTCCTCCTCTTTATTATTTTTCAACAGCAAAAACGAAATGTCCCCACACCACGGATTTGAAAGACGCCGGCGCTTCCTCAGCCTCACTTCGCCACCTGCAATGTAATGTGCATCCTAAGCCAATGATGGTTAAGCCCGCCTAACTGGATAGTGATTGAATATTTACTCCCGTCTTGCGGGGAGGAGTTTCCTCATCTCGGCTCGTAGACTTACAGGCACACATAAACAGTAAATTCGGAGAGAAATAAAACGCACATAAATTATTTTAAATGTAATACCGGAAAAACGCGTGTATTGAACCGTGGATGTCTTACTACTGAACGGTTCAATATTATATTGAGAATTGTGGCATCCCTAGTATGCACTGGTGGAACCTGTGTTAGGCTGGGTCCATATGCTGTGATCCCTACGGCGATCCCATATATGTATTCTTCCACGGTACGGCTCCCTCGCCTGCTCTGCCGTCACTGTTCGGTTGAGTCTCTCCCCTGTTTAGGCTGGAGCCACCCCAGTGACATTCCATAAGTTGAACTGCCCGGTCATCCGCCCAGTTCATGTGTGTATTCTCCACGTTACCTCCCTCCGGGCAGGATGTGACTTCCACAGCGTCCCTTCCTTCCTTAATTGTGGGGAGATCTGGAGGCTTTTGTCTAAGCACTGGAAGGTGGCAGCACTAGATGGCGTTTTAATTGGGATCCCAATCAGTCGACACAATGAACATCGAACGTGAGCGACTGAAATGAAACGTCTCGGTCACATATGTAACCCTCGTTCCCTGAAGGAGAGAACAGAGACGTAGTCCCGTCACCACTATCGCTGGACCACCGCTGACTCCGAGTTACGCTCGGCTCTTCATCGGAAAAAAAAATAGTGCGTGCATCCACTTCCGTATTTATTCTCGCGCCGCGGGGGCAGAGTGTGTAATGGATTTCACGCACACCAATTACATTGGCTGGTTTTAATAGTACTCGAAGATGACAGGCTCTCTAAGCGTGATCCCGATCAGTCGACACGGCGACTACAAATACATGCCTGAGTGTAGATTACATTCATGTACTGTATTTCATCAGACCGTTTTAATTACCTTCGTTCCTGAGAGTCGTTGTGCTAGCTGATGTTGTAAGCTCATCGTGTCGCTTTTGTGTAGTCAGATCAGCACTCTTCCCCACTTCCTTATCGCCTTCCTCCAATGTAATACCTGATGGGAAAACACAGACGTTATTTTCTATACAATTACAATGAATAGGGATGGATCCATGTTGATTCTTGACAAATAAATGTATCATCAAAGTGGTTCATACAACTTGTGTCTTTTGAAATCATATGATATAGTTTTGTGTGAATAATAGACCAAAAGTTATTCAAAGAAAATCTGCGATTATAGAGTTTATGAGACAAGTAGTGATGTCTGATTTATGCAAAAATAATGATTTTGAATCAGATTCAGGTCACCAATTAGTTTTAGTTGATGATTCTTTCACAAATCTGACTGATCGAGACTTACGGTGCTTTACACTGGCGTGGAGTGAGCAGAGCAGAGTGGGTGTATTCAGTTCATTTCTATGGCAGCCGAAAGTGTTGAAAGGTTCAGAAATGCTCAACTTTATGCAAATGACAAGTGAAAGAACATGTGACGACAGTACTTGTGTCGAAACTACTATTGCAAGTAGTGATGTTTGTCAAAAGTATTTTGAGTTTAAATGACACTGAGCGGAGTTTGTCGCTTCAGTGTAAACACACCATTATTGATCTGGTCGAGAGCTCACTATCGGGAACGATTATCAGTGAAAACCGACTTAAATTAGTGGAAATTCGTGCATGGGATGCATTGACGGATACCTTTATGGTATGTTTTTCCAGTCATACTGGTTTGGAATGACATGGGGTTTTCACAATTTTTAATTTAGTGTAAAATATTCTTTCAACAAATGAGGTTGGGCACCTTGAATGTGGTGCTATTTACTTAGGGTGAGGTTCTCTATAATATATTTGTGCCTTTAAAAACTAGTTCAGGGCCCAAGATGCAATCAGAGCATAATTATCACAGGTGTAGATTACATTTTTCACCAGACTGTTTTAATTACCTTTGTTCCTGAGAGTCGTTGTGCTAGCTGATGTTGTCAGCTTATCGTGTCGCTTTTGTGTAGTCAGATCAGCACTCTTCCCCACTTCCTTATCGCCTTCCTCCAATGCAATACCTGATGGGAAAACACAGCACACGAGGCTGAGAATGTGGTGCTGAATGAAAGTTTTTATGACTGAAAGAGTGGAGAAACAAGAACATTTCCTAACCTAGTTATGTCAAGCAGATTTCTGTGGTATTCAGAGGCATTGGAGTTGGCATCTCAGTGTTTAATTACAATGACTTGACTTTCATAATTGTAGGCACCAAGCTCCACTACGACAGAGCGCCATTATGGATAAGAAACTGAAACATTATCTTTGTGACCAAGAAGGATTATCAAACTAAACCGAAAACTTTTCTGAGGCACATTGAGGCCAGAGTGTTTATTATCTCGTCATTGGTCAATGATTCCCACATTCCTACAAAAATGAAATACATTTTTTCCATTAAGTGTCACACATCATGCTTCCATGTTTGTCACATTCTTTATTAATACTCTTGGAGATGGAATATTTACATTCCCAAATGTGTAGCTATGTAGCTGTTTGGGCATTCTTGTGTGTATGGACTATTTATGGATGCGCAGCGTCAATGTGCCTAAACAAGTGTGTAGATTTGTGTTCACCTTATGCAATAAAAACTTTCTACACTAAACATATGCAGACACATGACCTTAGACTGTAGACTGTTTGTGTGACTATAATCATCCCTTGTTGTGGTAACGGCAAAAACCTGCAACCTTTTGTTTTTGTGTGTATCATCAGGATGCTTGTTTTAGGCCTGATCACAGAAAATCTTCATTCTAGTACTGAGAGTACAGTCTCTCATTAGCATGAATAATGAGCTCTGCACCAAACCAAGTGGGGAGCCTAAACAAGGACAGTGTATGTGTACGTGTGTGATTGTACACAGCTCAACTCATCCTCTCTTGGCAGGGGTTCAGTCAAATCAAACCATCAAGCATCACTAGGTCACCACTTGATTCAATCATTCTCCGTAAAAAAAAAATTGTCGATTTGTCTATATAGTCTATCCACTCATCTATTTTTATCCATCCATCGATCTATCTCATTATATATACGCCTTATTCACGGCAGCGCCATCTTTGATTTTTAATGAGAATGAAAGCGAGGCTGTGAGGGATAGACATGCATCTCTTCAATGGGCTGTATTGTTATTTAATGTGTTTTCAGATCACGAAACACTGGAAAAATATCTTTCAAAGAAATGTCAGTTGACAAAAAACTCCCGACAATGTAAGCTGTGGAAAATTGTAAGTAATCTAGCCGCTTTATTCAGCTTTTTACAGCGGATGCCATTGGAAACACGGTAAGTCTATCCCTCACAGCCTCACTTTCATACCTGTCATGGCGCTGCTCTGAATAAGGTCTATAAACATTATCTATCCATATCTTTTAATACATCTATATTTATCTTCATCTATACATCCGTCTGTCTTTCCTTCCATTCATTCATCTATCTGTATATATATATATATATATATATATATCCATCTGCCCATCCTTCAGTCCGTCCGTCCAACCATCCGGTCCATCAGCCTTGTATTCAATTACTCTCCCCTGTCTCTTCATGGGTGATTTACAGATTCTAACTCTTACACCAGCTGTGTTCAAATGAAGCGCCAAAAGTCCCCCGTTAGTCTCTGCCAGAACACATAGACCACCGATCCTCATTAGATGATGACCAATGTTCTTTCAGAGCTGTTATTCATCTATGAAACCCTCTTTGCCTTCATCTTCCTGTCTCGTTCTTCATTTTTACCCCTCCTCCAACTCCGTCCCTGGTCTATATTAATAAAGATGGAATTAGATCAGAATTTGTAATTTGATCCCCCACACAACATCAATGAATCTCCCTCAAAAGGGCTGAATGTGTATGTTTGAATGACTGAGTTTGTGTTTGTCTGGGAGATTATGAACTCAATTCAGTATGTTCGAGAGAAAAACGGCCAGTTTAAATTTCATTAAAAAAGGATCCTTGGGGGGTGGGATTGGGAATCACTCATTTTCCTCCTTTTTTAGATTCAGTAAAGTCACACACATTCTCCACACAGGCAGTAATGAGTAGATTAGTCTCTAGGTGTCTTAAGAAAGCCTAGTCATAGGATTAACCTTTTATATGAAATGACAGTGATGTAAATACTGCATTATCATCATACTGCAATAGTGCATTGTTTGAGAGTGTGTTTTAGTGACACAAGCTGTGCATACAGCTTACCTAAAACACTACAATGTACTACATTGCTTTTCAGCAGTGTTGCCGTGACAACAATCACATTGTAACCAGTCTGGGAGCCGTAACCCTGACAACTGTTTAGTTTATGATCTGCTCCAGACATAACTAAAGTCCCTTTAAGACAAGAGACAAGTCATTTCACTCGGCGGCCATCTTTAAAACACCAAGTGTAGTTCCTATCTTTTGAATGGGGAAACATCAAATTCTCCAAAACTAGACAATAACTTTCTCATAAATGTTGTTTCTAAACGCTCAAATCATGACAGAAAATGACATTTTTCAGGCTGGATCAAGCTAATGCGCATGCGCAATGGAAGCGAGCGACTGTTTCTTTAGGAACCGGAGCTTCTAACGGCAGCTGCAGTGACACAATGACTTTACCAATTGCCGTTTCGCTATTATTTAGAAGACGAGACTTATTCCGCCATGTTGAGCATTGCAAAGAAAACGAGTGACGAGTCTTGTGTTATTCTATAGTTTTTGACGTTACTAGCATGTTACCTCAGAATTAAATGATGTAATCACTTCAATCAATCAATCAATCAATCAATCAATCAATCATGTTGATTCTTTCGACCGAACAAGAACGTCATATGCATCTGGTCCAGACATCAGTCAGATGTTTGCACTGCCATCTGAATGACCCAAGAGCCATGACCTGAATGATCTGTATTGCTTTTATGTTTAAACGAGTAACTAATGAGTATTTAAGAAATGATGAGACAAAGATTATATAAGATAAATTAAAAATAAAATTAACTCAAATGTTTGCTTACAATTTACTTCCAATACAAATTTGATTTTTCAAGTTATGAGGGGTAATGCTATAGCCTGACTTGGCCATACTCATATTCTAGTCAGAATGTGAGTCTGATACTGCTCCATAGGGCTTTGATTATGAGGCTTGTCTTAACTGAACCAGGTTAAGTTACAAAAAACTAACTCTGCACTCAATAATTGGATAGACCTACAACCAATCAGAGAACATATTATTTTACTTGGTCTTCCATGAGTGCGACCAAAGGAGAAACCACAACGACCACATCCATCTTCTTAGTGACCATCGAAGCCATTTGATAAATTAAACCTTTGCCAAATCCCATAGTAAGGACGGCAAACACATCTTTCCAGTCGACAAATGCCTTGATTGCATTTCTCTGTTCGTATTTTAAAATAAATGCGCTGTCGATTTTTTATTTTTTTTTACAACAGATGCGATCGCGGAATCTATTTGCTGATTTCACGCAGCCGCCATTTTGAAATCGAAAGCAAGGCTCTGGTGGGAAGAACCTCGGTATTACAGATAGACAACAATGCCTTGGACTACCAACCTGAAGCTGCTGCCACGATTTACACTATTGGATGTTAATATCCAATGTAGGATATGTACCTGTAGTTCATTGCTGCTTCTTTTTTTATGTTCTGAATTATATATATAAAAAAAATAATTTTATTTATAAATTAATTTCACTGTATATTGTCTAAAGTATGAAATTAATGTTTGTACATTTTTAGAATAACTAATTTCTAAATTAAACAACAATATGCCATCATTTTCCCGACTCTCCTATGATTAAAAAAGCGACACTTCCGGATTTCTTCCCACTTGAGCCATTTCAAAATGGCGGCTGCGTGAAATCAGTGTATACATCTCAATTCTCTATCTGCAGTCATCTTTGAGGGAAACCAGTTCAAACCAAGTGCTCTTTGATAATGTGATGATTACGTAACAGATCATCTGTCCATCATCGTATAAAGCCCACCCTGGAAATTTGATTGGCCCAACGATCTCTGAACCGATCATAATTACTCCACAATGGATCGAGTCCAGAGACCGAACTTCCCGACCAAAAAATGTTGTGGGCGGGGTTCGGGGTGGCTTCCAGGCTAGGGTAATGCATATATAAATAAAAAAAAAATAGGCTTCCCCATTTCTTTAATTAATCTTCATTTTATTGTAGGGTGACATATGACCCAGACAGTGTTTTTGAGATTCAGCGTTGTTTCCTCAAGTCTCAACACGCCTTTCTTTACTGCTCGCCTTTTTACCGAGAATCCCCTCCTCCTCTCAGCTCCAGCGTGTTTTTGAGGTGGGGGATAAGCAATTTGTGGCTGCATGCACCTCCAGAAGACAAGGTGACCGAAACATTGGTCAATAATTTGCTGTTTCTCTCTTACACACACCACACACACACAGAAATTCTGGCCTGAAACCTAAAATTCAGGATGCGCTTTGCCGAAAACAATCAGAAAATAAATAATTAATTAATCAAACTAATTTTTAATCAACCCTCAAATATCTAAAACAGAGTTTTAGAAATTTCAAAATGGTGGCTGCGTGAAATCAGCTAATAGATTCCGCTATCGCATCTGTTGGAAAAAAATAAATAAATAAAATCGACAGCGCATTCATTTTAAAAGACGAACAGAGTTGTACAAACATTTAAAATGCAAATAAGGCAGGTTTTATAACATTTTTAATAACAGAATTTTGTTGGTGAAATATAAACCATCTCAGCTCGAAAGCAGATTCATGTTTATCCTATTTGATGAAGTTAAAATAGTTAACTACATCAAATAGGATTTTTCTCAAATTACACTGCCACAATACTCAAATGTTGCAGTACTGTACTTTACTAACCTGCTAAAAATGTCAATCTCCAGTGCTTAATACAATATGGACAATGCAAAATAAGTAACAAGTATTGAAAAGGATAAATTGATTCCATCAGCGAAACTACAGTCTTTAACCTTTGATACAAACAAAACTGCGGGCATGTACCCAAGATTTGCAGAAAGGCAATAACTCTCAGAGAGAGGTGGATAGTAGCAGATCCTCTCTGTATTTCCTGTCTCCACCATCTGAAAAGATTCTACAAGTTTGGATTGAAAAGAAAATAACAAAAAGACATGGAAAAACGTGTCTCTGGGAGCCAGGAGAGGTTGAAAGAAAACATAAGACTGAAGGACTAAATGAGAATTATGGCTGGAAAAGAAAGAGAGATGCCCAGTAAACGTCATGAGGCCTATTACTGAAAGAGAGGACGGATGGAGTAAATTGAGAAAAGGAGACTAAATGTTGAGAGAGGCATGCTCAGCATCCATGAACAGGCGGTGCGGAAAAACATCGTCCCTAAGGATTCACTGGCTCTGCTGACTCTGCCATCGGAATACTGATTACATCCCGCCCAACTGGCTGCTTCTCCAGTGCAAATCCCATGCTCACACACACACTCCTTTAGCAGATATCAAACAGAGCCATGTCAATACTGGCTAGCATGCTTAGCCACTTCACATACACCACAGCTTAGGTGCCTGGCACACAATTTACAAGGATATCTAGAGAGTTCTTGTGCGCAGTCACCTCAGAGGAGGTCTATATTGATTTGTCTGGCTGGCACCTTGATCTTACAGGTCTAGATTTTTTATTTTGGAATCAAAATGTCACAAGTCTTTGTGGAAGGTCTCTCCAGTGGGATATGCACTCAACGCTTGACCTTAAAGGGTTAGTTCACCCAAAAATGAAAATTCTGTCAGTATTTACTCACCCTCATGTTGTTCCAAACCTCTATGTGTTTATTTGTTCTGCTGAACACAAAGAAGGTAATTGGAAGAATGTTTTAATCAATCAGATCTCATTCCCCATTGACCATAGTCGGAAAAAATACATACTATGGTAGTCAATGGGGAATGAGATCTGTTTGATTAAAACATTCTTCCAAATATCTTCCTTTGTGTTCAGCAGAACAAATAAACACATCGAGGTTTGGAACAACATGAGGGTGAGCAAATACTGACAGAATTTTAATTTTTGGGTGAACTAACCCTTTAAATGATGCAAATGTTCATAATGGAAATACTAGCATATTGCTTACTGCCTAGTATGTATAATAGTAACAACATTACAATACTTTACAATACAAACTTTCAAGTATGCTACAATACGTTGTTAATGCTGCTTTCATAGGCCTTAGAAAAAAAAATATGTAAATAAATAAATTTGGACTGTTAATCCAGTTTAATGTAAAAACGTCTTAACTTTAAGCAGTTGGTCGCTTATTAAGTTATTTTCATTACTACCAATTATTGTATGAAAACATTGATTTCATTTTTATTTCGCATTATAGTAATAAGAATGATTTGCACTGCATCTTAATCTTAAAAAAATAAAAACTTATTCACAAAATTGCCTTCATTTCGGTTATGCAAAATTGAATTAGTCTTTTCACGTGGTGGCATAGGACTCCCTATATAGTACAGTACATACTTAATATAAGCAGTAAGCTATTCAAAACACAACCCATGTCCTCCTACGCAGAAGCAAAGCTCTCAGACTCACTACATATACAGATATCAGCAGTAATGGAGTAATTCCTGCTCATACTATCAGATGAAAGTCACTCTTCTCACTACTTATTAAGAAGATTTTGCATGTTTCAGGGACACAGGGGCTATTAATCAATTAATCAGACTCATTGATTTCACTGCTAACCCTTCACTGGTAATCAATAAAGGCTTGGCAACTCATTAAATACACATTTTCCCCTTAAAACAATGAAACAAAGGAACAAATGTAATACACTCATGCCTGCTCAGGAGAGGTTAAATTCTGTCATAATTTTTGATAATTGTGTCAAAATCTTTAAAAGTGTGCTCATACACTTGGTTTGTAAGCAAACAGTGAAGTTATGGTTGACTTACCTCCTGCTGGCAGGGTGGGAGTGGGATCTGGGCCAACACTTTGCACTCTTTCCCCTTCTGTTGGGCCTGTGGTCTTCTCTACCCATGTAAATCCCTCCAGAGCCTTGCTAGTTGGTTTAAAAGGCGTCCATTCTGGATCCGAGGCTTTGTTTGTTGTCCCCAATGTGTTTAGTTTAGTGCTGACAGTGGTCAGAGGTACGGTAGATACTTCAGGCTTGGGGTCAGCTGGTGTAATGAAATTTGTGGTTTGAAATAAAGCAGACGTTAGTTCTGGTGTTGTTGACAGAGTGTCTGTGGGTATGGTTTGGTCACTGTAAGGGTTCATGGTTTCCCTAATCTTTCTCAGTGTTGCAGTCTGAGTAGTGCTGGTACTTTGATTTGTGGATACAGTGTATGTTTGTATTTCTGGTTTAGTTATCTGGGGAGATGTCGTTTGTGGGGTTTTCGCTGTGCTTTGGCCATTATTGGGGGGCCAGTGCTCAAGATCATAGCTTTGATAGTGCTTAGAGGGAGGTTCAGTCCCATCTAATCGGGGTTTGTTCCTGAGCAAGTCATTTGTTGTCACTTTTTCTGATTTGAAAGGCAGCAGATTGCCTATCTGAATGGTGCTGCTTTGAAGTTCCTCAATTGTGGTTGCGGTCGGCTGGTGTTTTGGGCTGGTTAAGCCCTCAGAATTCAGAGTATAGTCTTGTGTGGTTGGTTCTGGAAGTGGCGGGCTCACCTTTGTCGCAGCAGACCCTTTAGCCTGACTGAAAATATTAAATGATCCAAAATCTGGAAGTGATGGAATTTTTTCAAAAATGCCCCAACCTTTGGATTCTACCTTGGTTTGGGTTGTTGGTTTTGGCCCATACCTGCTGAAAAACCCATTGATGGAACTGATGAGATAGAAGAACAAAAGAGTCCCACGCAGAAGCAGCATTCTGCCCCTCTAAAGTCGTGCTGGACCACTGCTCACATGGTGTCTGACTGTCCGAGGAATGCCCACCGGATGCACTGGGCTTCTGCGGCAAATAATCTAAAGTAGAGACACAAAAAAAAATTGATATTCTCTCAGTTTACTTCAAGTTATACTAGACGTTCTTCAATTGCGCCTGTAAACGAACCCATTTAAGTTTAAGCCTTTGAGTTTAGTAGTTTCATACCCAATCGCACTTCTTCCTGCTGTCACAGAGGTGGCCTCAACTCTCCATTGACAGAGCAATTATAGAGGCAGAGCTCTTTAAGAATACTAATAGAAGACTGGAGGTCTCTTTGTGGCAGTGCATTTATGGGGGTGGTGTAATAGGACGTATAGAGGCCCGGTTTCTTTGTGGAGCTGTGGGCTAATTTCGGAGTATAAAGCTGATGGCCTGTAGCCTCAGTGAGAGGAGTTGAATTTGATGAAATTTCTCTCGGAGTGAGATTTGGACTTTCTTTCTTTCTTTGCAGCCCCCGCGTTCCTCTTTCTCGCGCTCACTTTCTCTCCCCCTCACGCAATTGATTTGTTCTCGAAACTGCAATAAACTCTCCACTCTCCCACTGGGAATAACATTGGTTGTTTTTGGTCAGTAAATAGCAGGATAAGTATTTTGAAATTCTCTTTCATTTCCTTTCTTTCTGTAACCCAATTGTGTCTTATCCATCTCTCAGTGCCATCTGTATCGCAGAAATAGCCTCCCTCAGAGTCTTTTTCTCCGCTTAATGAGGTTTGCTTACTTATACTAGATTAAATCAGCTAACTGGCTCTGGGCTAATGGGTTTAAAAAGATTGATGGATTGCAGATTTGTCTTTCAGAAAGCGCAAAAATCTACCACAATGGTAGTTTTGGTAATGTTATATGCGCATCGTCACCACAGCAGATATTTAAAAGAAAATACAATAAAACAGTGATATTATTACAATTAAAATACCTGTTATTTTAAAATGTTTCAAATGTAATTTATTCCTGCAATGGCAAAGCTGAATTGTCAGCAGCCAATCTTCAATGTCACGAAATCATTCTAATATGCTGCTGCCCAAGACACATTTTTTTTTATTATCACAGTCAAACATAATCGTGCTGCCTAATATTTTAGTGGAAACTGGGATCCTTTTTTTCAGTTTCTTCAATTGAAAGTTTAAAAGAACACTGTTTATTTCTTTGTAACAATGTAAAGGTTTTGCCACTTATGGTCAATTAAGGCTATGTTTACACGGAAACGATCTGAAGAGAAAACGTAAAAGTGGCGTTGCGTTATTACTTTTTTATTCTGCGTTTAGACGAGCATTATGGGTGTGAAATCGGCGTGCATATGGTGACGCAAAAGTGTGTGAAATTCAATGTAGTACGCACTCTAGGCGGCTTGGTGGCAATGTGAAGTACTGCCACACAACAACACCAAATCCGCGCACCTGCGTACAACCTTCACTGTCAAGCAGACTTTTGCATTTTTACCCTTTAGACGGGAACGCGGCGGTGGAACGTTTTTAAGATTTCCACTCTGGAGGGTGGTTTCACTTTTTTGCGTTTTTAAGCCCCAAAAACGCAGTCGCCGTGTAAACGAAAGGCACATCCGATAAAATATTTTTACGTTTTTACCCGCAAGCCTTCTTGTGTAAACAGGGCCTTAATGCATCTTTGCTAAAATATCCAGTCATTTATTTGGAAAACAAATATATACTGAAAATGTCAGTTGACATTGCTTCACTTTGGAAATGGAAGGGCACATTGCACAGTGCCCAGTATAATATATTCTGGTTGTACATGTACACACAGCATATTTTACTGACACTATTTCTGGCATACAGTATATGCTTTTTTTTTTACTAGCACAACACTCCACAGGGGGCGCTGTTGAAGCCTGGCTGATTCATAGTCATTATTGTCATAACTAGTCAGACTGTTTACTCATTACCACACACCACCTGCTTTTAGCGAAGTCCTGTCTTCTTGGCTGCTGCTAGCAAGGTGAAAGGTGGTGATGATTCCCCCGGCATTATGGGGGCCCTGTGATTTTAACCATTAAAAGCTGTATTACTATCAAAAAAATGATCAGACGCTATAGTTTCTCTGTCGCCGCCTTTGTCTTTCATACCTTTTGAAATGTTTGATTTCAGAAGAACAGTTTCACCAGTGCTAAATGCCTCAGTAAGTCATACCCCACAGGAGCTTGTTAAACAGCATCACAAACGCTGCTGTGTGCATGTGTCAGAGTCTGTGCCTGACGAACAGAACACCTAAATGACTGTATAGCACTGCACTTTACTATTAGGCCCCCCTCTCTTTTGTTCTTTCCCCGTCTCTATCCATTTCTCTCACTCTCCTTTCCCTCTTTCATTGTCATTTTGTTCCACCGTGCGTGGCAAAGAAAGGGCTTGCCAGAGCAGGATGTAATCATTCAAGCAGAAAAAGGGAAAAAGAGAGTGCTCAAGAGCTACTCTTGATTTAACACTACACATTTAGTACTCATCTGAAATCTTTCCTTTGTTGAGTTATTATATTTTTTAGAATATATTTCACCACAGAGTGTCTGTAACCCACAATTAACTCTTCAACTCATAATCATCATCAAACATATTACAATTATCATCCAAACTATCACTATTTTCATTTGTACACTCTAAACAATGCTGGGTTGTTTGAACCCAAATTTGGGTAAAATATGGACAAACCCAAATGTTAACCCAACTCAATTTTTACTTTCAACTGTGCATTTTTTACTTGCATTCTGAACCCAACATTTGGGTTTGTCCATATTTTACCTAAATTTGGGTTCAAACAACCCAGCATTTTTTTTACAGTGTACTCAGTGGTTATCAAATGGTTTTGTTTAAAGATTCTGCAATGGAAGTATTGGCCAAACATAAGACCAAAAGTGCTTATTCAAAATTTTAACAGTTTCAAAATCTTGGCAGCCTGTTCGTGTTGGCATTAACTTCATTTATTATTCATCCCAATATACATTTAATTTGAGCCACAATACAGTAGTTTGCACTGGATAAACACCTTTTGAAATGGGAAGAATTTTTCCAAACTTTTTTTAATATATATATATATATATACAATTATATGGTTAGTTGCATTTTATATTGTGCATTCAGCATTATTTTCTGCCCAGCTGTCATAATGGACATAATTTCACCAGTTTAAAATCACTGATTTAATAACGTTGTGCATCACCATCTATCATAACTTAACCAATGAGAGACAAAATGGTGATTCCACTTAATCCGAAGAGGATCTTAATGGAACTATTAGAGGACTGAGAGAAGGTTAGAAGTGTCCTTCTCTCAATAATATACATGCGTTTAAAGGAGGTCTAGGACCTTCTTAAGTGGTGACAGATCGACTAGTCATGGTATCAATTATTTTAACAGGCCTCTAGACGTGCATGACGGCTCTGGGAATCATTGGCTCATGCCTTCATGAAACCAAAAGATTTATTCAACAAGCCTTTCTGGTTCTTATCTTATAGACATTGTGGGGGATGGGATATTTATGACCTGCAGCCATAAAAAAAACACACACACAGATGCCCATAAAGGGGCTTTCCTTCAAACACAGTCTAAAGATTTTTAGAGACAGCAAAAGCCATTAGCCTATAACCTTAACCTCAAATTAACCCAACCATGAACCAGAGCAGCCATAGTCTGGTGCATCATGATCTAAATGCAGCCTAGTCCTAAACTACAAAGTCTAAGGACATTTAAGGCTGGTTTAGCGGAGTATTTTAGTAGTAAAATAGCTTAACTCTTAGAAAAAAAAAGGTTCAGTGAGGATCCACTCTTCATACCAAAAAGGTTAAGAGATATAACATTTAAAATGTTCTAGTGAGAAAGTATGTTATGTACGAGTTGCTTAAAAATAAAAAATGAATTAAAACTACATCCATTAAAGGAAAAATGATCGGAAGAGCCCCCCTCAATAGACTGGTTTGTGTGCTGTTATTTTACATAGAGTTTCTCCTCCCATTCCCTCACACCGCGAAACACTGGACTCAATACTGTTGACTCCATGTACACATTCATTTTCCACATCAACGGCTCTCTGCGTCCTTATAGTTGTCAGTCCCCACAGTGTTCATTAACAGAGTGTTATCAAGCTGCAAGCCTGAATGGATCAATCCATTTATGTTTAGTCTATATGTGCATGTATATTGATGAATTATAAGTCCTGATTATATCATTTTTGCCCCCAGCCATCCACCATCACTGCTGGCTGTTTTATTTTATCCCCTGCTCACTATATGACTACACACACACACAAAACACATAGTTACTGTATATTTGTCTATCAATCAAATTATTTAAGATGGTGCTTATCAATGTGGTCTGAACAACCTGTTGACATTTGTGACAGTTAACTCCATGGCAATTTCCAAATGTTGCAAATGTTTTTCACTGCTTTCTGTCTTGGCACATCAGGAGTCAATTACACTTGGCAGCGAAAACATGACAAATGACCTGTCACCTTAATGTTTTCGTGGGCTTTTTTTTTTCTTAAAGCATCCGGATCACCTGATTATCTTAAAACGCACACGCTGCTATGCTGGCTGCCTTCGCCATGGTTACCAGAGGAGCAGAATGCGTCTGAAACGCAGAGCTCTTCCCACACAGCACATATGTGAATGTGTGAAGAGGTCTGAGATGCTACACAACCACCCGTTTAGCATGATCAAGAGCATTAGCTGTGGTTATAGAGCAAATACAGATCTCTTTATGCACCTGACACACATTTCTGGCTAATGTTGTCACATTTATACACCTAAATCTGGATACACAGCCAACTGCAGTGAGGCTGTAGCTTCTATAATGAAACATTTCTTGAAAGATGAAGGACAGAAGGAGAAACTTACCTTTCTCCCTGAGGAGAAGAGGAAAACAGAGAATCCAGAACAGCCACCAGCAATCCACTGCAGGAGAGAGAGAGAGAGATCTGTCTCTCTGTGCGTGTGGGAGAGAAATCGTTTTTGGTCACACACTCTCCCTCCCTCCCTCTTTCTCTCTCCTCCCCTCTCTTGCTGCATCAGTAAGTCTAGTGTAGGATTCAGATGCACAATATCTGGTCACACCTCGCTGAGCAGATTGTTAGAGAGCAGAGAGCAAGCACTGTACAGCAGGCAACCGTCAAGGAATTAAGCATCCTGCACAGAAGAAAAACACACATGCTCAAAAACACATAAACACACATGCACCATAAATATGTAGCATGCACAACAATTATACAAAATACATGCAAGAATTAACAAGCAGAATGTACACAAGAATTAGAAATATTTGAATATTGAATAATATTTTAACTCATTTTAATTTAATTTAAAACGTATTCATAAGTTCTATACACACTTTTAATGAATTATAAACTGAAATTTTAAACTAAAACGTGTCAAAAAACGAATTGCAGCACTCTTCCACCCACAAACATTAAGATGTCACGCTTCGGCTTTTTGTCAATAGAATGTCTTTTCTCTGCATCTGATCCCCGTCAAAGCTAGCCAATAATAATCCATTCACAATGCTCCTCCTGGGAGAGGGAGCATTCTGGGATATGATTGCATCTCTGATCCCAAGGAATTCTCCAAATTTAGAAACAATCTGAATTGTCCCATCCCAAGGAAACATAATTTCCTGATGGAAAGCCCAACTTTGTCAAATTGGATGGAGCCAGTAAGTCTCAATGCCAGTTTGACCTCATATACAATACACACACACACACACCATTTTACTTTTGCTCCAGATCAGTACATCTCACGAGAACAGGCACCAAAGGTAATGTTTTTGAGGACAGGATGTTTTAATAAGGTTAAAGGAGTAGTTCACTATAAAATGAAATTTAACCCATGATTTACTCACCCTCAAGCCATCCTAGGTCTATATGACTTTCTTATTTCAGACGAATACAATCAGAGTTATATTATTAAACACCCTGACGCTTCTAGGCTTTATAATCAGTTTGAAGCTCAAAAAAGTACATCCAATATTTGGGGAACAATATAACTGTTTTGATGATCGTCAAATTAATGGATTAAGGATATATATATGAGCTTGACTATCATTTCTGTCATTTCACACCAGTATGACTTTATATCTTCTGACAATATCCTGGCCGGACTACACTGTTGTCAGTGATATAAGTATTTGAAATGAACCCGATTTCTTAAATGTCTAGTGACAAATTTATGATTAATTGAAATAAATTTCTTGCATACAGCTCCTTTAAATGAAGCAAGTGTGTAGAGTTACATTCAAGCTATTTTAAGGCATGAATAAAAAAATAGGTCATTTTGGTGATCAAAGATGAGTTTTAAGGGATAAAATTATTGATTACAGGGGGACTTTAAATATTTGGTAACAATTGTTATGTACAGGGGTGTTACATACGGATCGCCTATACTCTGACTTAGGCCATCCTTAAAAATATTTTGGTTTGCAGTAACAGCGATTTTTTTTAAAAAAAGGGTCGGTAGGTAGGTCTATATTTTTTTTTTTTCAAGATTCAGTGTAAAAAAAAAGTACAATTTTGGTCATGGTGATCGTGAATTTAAAAAAAAAAATGCATATTGTGACGTCACTGACTGGGTCTTCAAACTGTGCATCCACCGCTAGGTGTTAATTTTAGGCCAGTCACAAAATGTATAAAATATCTATTTGTTGTGCATATATACATGAGATAGGCAAAAACAAGTACAAACACATGGTCAAACAAAGAATACAATTAAACAAAGATACAAATTAGCCTATATACACAGTGCTTTAATTTCAGGAAGGTCTAAAATTAGCTACTTTTCAGTTAAGTCTGTTGCTCTGTCTGAAAAGAAATTTAATTTATTAATCAAATGTAAAATGACACTGCATAGTTTATCATAGTTAGATTAATGCTTATTAAAGTGTAAGATATTCATTCAAGACCTGTGAGTGATTTTTATCAGCCTTTTGTTGTTTGATTCGCATTACTGGCTCAATCGTCACGTTTATTAGACTACTGCCCCTTTAAGACCGAATGCAGAACTCTACTGTAATAGATGCACCATCATTTTCTCCCAACTATTTACGTCCAATTAAGACATAAACTGTGTTTAAATGAATCTCAGAGCAGGTCATTTTATATTTTATGCATATTTGATAGTTTAGATGTGCACATGAAGCCCAAAATGAGGCTATAGCCTACTTTTCTTGTCTCGTTTTAGTGGATTTCGGAGCGCGCGTCGCGCGTCGTGAACAGCGTCTCTTGCGCAGACTTTTGTGCTTTTAATAGCTCTTTTAATGATTGAACGCGTCCGCAGTTTAGCAACAGTACAGAGTGCACCGATCGTGCTGATTCTGACGGTACGTTTGGGTTTTAGGAAGAAATGACAGCGCAACGCTGTGAAGGGAAGGAAGTTGCGCTAGACAGAATGCGTCTGTAATGGTTTCATCTCAAATATCATCTTTTTATAATCTTTGAAAGCGGAAATCTAAAATACAATTAGAATAATATCCCAGATCTAAAGTGTAGGTAACCACGTTCTGTTCTCATTGTCACTCATTAAGCAGGGCTGTCGTGCTGCGCGCGCTGTGGCTCCGAGTGAGAGATCGCTCTCTCTCTTCTGGACTGCGAATAGCAAAATGCATCACAGACAAATTGTTTAATATTATTATTATTATATATATATATTCAGCCCCCTTGCCCTTTTAATACCGGGTACCAAGCGGGAACACTGAATGAAACGAGCTGACGTACAAGCCATAGTGTGACACGCGTAACGTTAAACCAATGGTGTAAACATAATCGGATGACTATGACGCCACGGGTTTTTATTTAAAAGAAAGAACGTAGCCTACGTTTGTAGGCTATGTAGACACAAGCAACTTTCACAATACTAACTAAAATATAATTAATATTATTTTATTGAATTTGAATTAGTAGTTTGAAGAGTTAAAAAAAAAATCGGTCGGTCTGAACGCAGGTTACAACCGGCAAGTCGGTCGGACTAAAAGGAAAAAAAAATAAAAAATTGGGTCGGCCCTAAATTGACAGGGTCGGTCGGGTTACGGCAAACAAGAATATTTTTAAGGGTGGCCTTATTGTTGTGTCTGACTGCCTGAGCTGGACTCTGACTAGACCAGGGGTCTCAAACTAAAATTAACTGGGGGCCACTGGAGATAGAGTCTAGGTCAGGCCGGGCCGCATCAAGTATTCAAAAAAAAAAAATTGTATAAGTATTCCAAAAATGGAGCACAACTGATCCAATCTTCTCAATCTTTATTATTAACGTTTCTTCTGAACTGTTCCTCTGAATTTGAACATTCCTTTCTGAACATGATTGGTTCTTCATGAGCTGTCCTTCTGACAGTTGAAGTTAATTTTACAAACTTTCTTTGTCTTTTTCTTATACACAACATCTTTGTGTATAGTGTGGATAGTCATATTTGCTTTTTATTTTCTTTATACAACACTTATATTGAATGTTTTATTTTCTTTTTTCGGAAGGCACATTTCCTTTTATTATACTTAATAAAAAAATTAAAAAACGAAAAACAGTTATTGCTTTTGAAATACAAATAATTCTTTCTACACATGTATAGTATCTCAGGCAAATTACTGACTTTGCACATATCAAAGCAAACCTTATCAACCTGTTGAATCAAAGCTTCTTTTTTATTATTATGCTATTATTATTGCCACAGCCCATATACAACCACAGATAACAATTATTTTGTCGACGGGCAGAGTTTGCACGTCTGTGCAAACTCTGCCCGTCGACAAAATAATTGAAAATGCAAGATTTTCCCATCCTTACCGACCTCATAAAACCCTTTCAAATGATCTTACGACGCCTCCTCGCTCCTCGGTTCACAGACACTAATGAACGAGTTCACTGTAACGTTCATCAGTCAGTGATACAGTAGGCAACGTTCAGTTCACGTTCGCCCAAAATATGAACAAGTTCATGAACTATCGTTCATTGAACGCTTTCAGACACAACACATATTACAAGCTCAAAATGATTATTCTCACATTGTTTTAGAGCAGGGATATCCAACACGTCGCTCGCGAGCCTGATTCGGTGGTAGAAGCTTGCCTTGGGGCTGTTCACATATCGCGCTCACATATTTTGCACGCTCAAGTTTGTTTCAAATGCATGCGCGCATCAAGCGCGCTCATAATTGAAGCGACGCGCTCATTTTTTCCAGGCGCAGTATATGTTTGTACTTTGTGGTTGTCTATGACACCGTAAGCTGTCACGAGGCTATCTGGTAGCCCATAAGGGGGAAAAAAAACGCGGCAAACGCAACGGCGGGCCGCAGTCACATTAAACTTTAATGTCAAGTGGGGGGGCCACAAAATATCACCCCGCGGGCCGCAAATGGCCCGCGGGCCGCGAGTTTGAGACCTCTGGACTAGACTATATACTGTAAGGTGGACGGGGTTCCCCCTCCTGACCCTGTGTGCTTTATGTTCACCCACCCCCCAGCATCCGGAGGAGCGCACAAAGGCTGCCTCTGATTGAGATAAGTACCTTTGTCTCCAGGGAACAATGAATCCTAACAGTCTGCATTAAAGCTAAAAGACATAACTTTCCCTTAATGTGCAGTTTTCCTTCCTATAGGCTGTTTAGCTAACGGATGGATGTGGATCTGAATTACAGTATCTCTATTTCATGGTTCCTTTAAATCCAATACTGAGTTTTCCATACAGAGTCGCAAAGTTACTAACTAAATAGAACATGTCAAATCAGTCACTTTTGAGTATCCGGGACAGTTAGGATGCTGCCTAATATGTAGGCAACTTACTAGGTTATGGAACAGTAATAATGTATGTCAATATTTCTGTAAGCAACCAAGTGAATTAAAACAGCCTGGCTATTATATGCAGAGAACATTAATTTATCAGAGGAGATAAATGAAGATTTCCTATGGGACTTGCAAAGCAGGTGTTCACAAACACACAAACATGCCAGAATCTATTGCAGGATTTCATATTTTCATATTCATTTAGGTGACTCATGCAAACGGTAGTGGGATATCAGCAAGCAGTAGGGAGAAATTTTTTAGCAACCAGTTAGTAAGTCCATGCGCACATGGGCCTATTTGAAGGAGGTGATCGCTAGCATGTGTGTTGGTCTT